GACCCGAATTGCTGCGCTCATCCGTCTAGACATGGTAAATGGTACAGATATCTGAGAGAGTCTTGGCTTAAAGTTTCTTATGCTCCAAGTATAGAAAACGCAGCTCGAATGATTGTGGCATGTTTTGAGCTCGAATGCTTCCAAAAAAACAGCTTCAGCTTTGCCAACCGACGAACCGAAGACCCGTAGAGTGGCTAGGGTCAAGTTTCTCGACATCCCTGTCCGAGACTCGCGTCATCTTTGGCCGAAGTTCAATCGTTGGCCAAGATTTTGAATGTTTCAGAAACTGTTCGATGGGCCTGGCTTCGCGACTCGAAAGGACTAGGTTTCGTCGAAACCGACTGCCATTCTTATTTTATAGTGTTTATTCGTATATTATATATTAGACTTTAAACTACAATCTTTACATGTCCTATAATCGGAATTTATTTGTGCATGTATTGATGATTTACAATGTTTCCTATACCTCATATCAGAATGAATAGTTCTGACTGCACATCTTCGTAGTACTTATTTTTATTGATTTATTAGCCGGGTATTTTAAATACTTCACACTTCAACGTAATTCCTTTGTTTCTGAAAAAGAGACTCATTATTTTGTTGTTGCAACCGATATCAGAAGAAAAGGAAATGATATGTGTAATTCATCTCCATATTCTCTTGTGTCTAAAATTATTCGGCTACGAAGATGCATTACCTTTGGAGCAGACTTGCAGGAACGACCACGAAGAACTTTCCGCGATCGAGTGGGGCAGAGATGAGTGTTCCCATTGCCACTCGATTGCGAACACGCACGAGAGTTGAACACGTTAATTCGGTTGGACGCGGATTGACTCCTTTCAAGATGAGGTGACGATGTTGCTTCGCGGTCCCGTTATCAACAGATAAAAAGTTTGCCTGAAAATCAATGTTATTTTAGTTCTGCGAGCCAAAAATACTGCAGGTACGTTGCAGTCCCAAATGCAGGAGGAAACGAGTGCTGCAAGAATGACGGACAGCATTTTTGTCTATGTTTGAGGGTCAGTTTTCGATCAGCAGCTCTCTTTGGTTGGTTCTCACAAAATACCGAAACGCAGGCATTTGGCGGTTATTTATATAGCTTGGCGCCAGCTTCTGTCCCATGTTTCGTT